CGGGAAGGCTGGGGATGGAGCCACACCTGGGCAGCGGTCAGAGACCAGATGGGCAGCTCCCCTGGCCTGCGAGACCCCCAGAAGCCGTCTCTACCCGCCTTCCCTGGGGGACTCCAGCTGCCGCAGCTTTGGGAAGGCCGGCAGCGAGCCACTGGGCCAGTGACCGCTGGAAGGCCCGGGGACAGCTTCAGGCGGGGACGCTCCCTGGCCCTACTGGGTCAACCCCTGGTGCTGGTGAGCTCTGAGATCCTGACCGGTTTCCCCGCCGATGGGCCCGGCCACCTCCCTTTCTGAGAGCACATTTGTCTCACCGCTTCATTTCCTTCCTGTCCTCTTGCCTGCACCCTCCTCTGCCACTTGAGGTCTCCGTAGCTGTGGGTGCTGTGTCCTTTAGCTAACAACTGAGTCCCTGTTGGGCTGGCAGACGACGCCGTCCTGCTGGGGACCCCAGGAACCAAGGGCCTGTGCCACAGACTTGGCCCTTAGAATGGACTCGTTAACTGCACTAATTAGAATGGATTGGACCCACTCTCTTCCCTCCACTCTGCTCTGCTGCTGTCCCGTGCCTGGGCTCGGGTCCAGCCAAAGCCCTAGTGTTGGGAACACTCCTGGCTGACACAGGACACACCTTCTTGCTTGCTGCGTCGGCCCAGTTTCTGCCTCTGTAAAGTGGAGACAATAGAGATGTCTCTTAAGATGCTGCCAGGAGTGATCCCCCTCAAGGAGAGTGAACACTCTGGAGTGTTTGCTCTTTTTGCTTGAAACCCCCTATTGGTGGACAAAGCGCCATTCTGCTCATCAGGGGCATTGGATAGGCACCCCAGTTCCGTGTGATCTTGACATGGGACATGAAAGGTAGAGAGTGTATGGGGAGGGAGATCCCTACAGTTAATGACCCTGAAAGCGACAAGAAGGAAGAGGAGGACAAAAGGCACTTGCTTAGGTTTACTGGGGTTGGGGAGGGGTAGACAGTGAGGGTTGTGTCACACACAGTGGTTTACTCCCTGGCTTTGTGCACAAGGGTCACTCCTGGCAGTACATGGGGAACCATATGTGATCCAGGGATTTAAACAGACTCTACTTCAAGTATAACCTCTATACTGTGTCTCTGCCCCCACTTCCTTAGATATTAATGTAACATCAGCCACTTGGTTCCTCCCCTCTCACAGCCGAGGAAACTGGCTTGTGGACAACATTGGAGGTAATGGGGAGATTACACTGCTGGGATGTTCCCTGTCCAGAGTGCTCTAACGCTCATCTCCTCACCTTTTTTCTTCCCTTGAGGGGGTCTGGGTCAAGGAGTGTGGGAAAAGAAACAAAAAGAAAGAAGCTTCAAGGAGCCAGGACCTTTCCACTAGACTTCATAAAATTTTAACATAAAAAACTTCCACAGAGCAGAAGGCATGGATCACATGCAAATCATATGCTAATCACACACAAATGCAAAATCTGGTCCTTAAAACTCGAACAAACATCTGACTATAAACCCTGGGCAAATTCTGGGGGGACCCCATGGTTCCAGGAGGGAACAGGAGTGGGTTTCATTTAGGGTCAAGTGATGGAATCGGGCTTCCTTTTCTCTTTTGTTTCGTGTTTTTGGTCTTGCAGCCACCCCTGGCTCTGTGCTCTGTGGTCACTCCCGATGTGTGGTCACATATAGCTCTTGGAACTATATATGATGCTGCAGTTGAACCCGGGTTAGCCAAGTGCCCTGCCTGTTATCCCATCCTTCCAGCTAGGATTCATTTTCAGTTTGGAGAGTCAACGTGAATAACTTGGAGGGTCTAGTCTAGTGCAGATTGAAGGGTGGAGATTAAGGTAGGGTGCAGGCGAGGCTGTGCTTTCCTATAGGAGACTTGGTAAAGGCTTCTTCCAGTCCCTCCTATAAACCTGTCCCCACCTCCATTGCCCCTTTATTGTCCTGTGGCACATCCTTTCTACCTACTTCCCCTTCCCAAGCACTCCAGTATCCTGAGTCCTTCCAGTTTCTTTTTGGCTTTTGGGGCCACACTTGTGATGCAGTTACTCCTGGCGCTGCGCTCAGGAATTATTCCTGGCGGTGCTCAGGGGACAATGTGGGATGCTAAGGCTCAAACCCAGATTGGCCCCCTGCAAGACAAACACCGTACCAAGACAAATCAAGCCCTTTCCAGTTTCTGAGGAGTTCTGGATTAATAGTCTGAGGACCCAGTTTGGGTCCCAGTATTTCCTCTTGAACCCAGATGCTTGGCTTCTGGCCCCAGGGGCACTGGCTGGTTCTGACCCTACCCAGATCCCTCCTTGGCCGAATCTGACAGCTGCAGGGGAAGCGGTAAGGACTGGTGAGCCGGCAGCTTCATTCCAGAGCGTGGGGAAAGAGCAACAGAACATGAATAAATTCATGGAGCTGGCCCCGTGGCTCCCTGTGAGCCCAGCCTGCTCCCCCCCACACCCCCGCTGCTGCCACAGTCCTGCCGGTCACGGCAGCTCACAGCCTGGGCTGGGGATGGGGGGGAGAGGGGACCAGAGAACGGGAAACTGACAGACTGAGGTGAGGGAAGATGCCAACAAAAGAGGGTCCGGCGAGTGGGGCAGGTAGGTGAGGGAGGACAGAGGAGGGGGAGCGGGAAGAAGCAAGGGGGCATGACCTGGGGTCTGTGGGGCTTGAGGATCAGGCAGGGGTGGCCAATGTGAGCCCCGTACACTCCTCTCCGACCCATCCATCATCCAGCCTGGGGGAGCAGATTCGGAATTAGACATGCACGGGGCGACAGGGCCCTCAGCCCCCCGAGGAAGACAAATGGCGACAAAGACCTTGAATAAAATTTGTATTTATGGTTGGAGGAGAGGCCCCGCCTCCACTGACTGCCAATCCTTTTCTCTCAACCCTTTCAAGCATGTAGGGAAGGTCCGGCCTCAGCAACCTCTTTTTCCCTGCATCATTATGGAGCGGGAAGCGTTTCTGGTCACAGGGACCAGGACCAGGAAACAAAACATGAGGAAATCACCTTCCATGTAGAAACCATGCCCAGGTGTTTGCCCGGGCCCTGTATTCCACACATCCCCGCTAAGCTACAGTTCTGGCTTACCTGAGTTTCCGGGAGGTCCTGCGTGCTGCCCGCCTCCACAATCTCCAAACACCCCCTTTCATCAGTCCTGGAACCCTGGGTTCCCTGTGAGCAGGAAGTTTCCTCCAGGGGGCTCAAACCCACAGGAAGGACTCAACCCCCAGGCATCCCTGGCTCAGATCTCCCAAAGCTCTGGTTCCTCTTGGTCACCAGAATGTTGATTGACATAAAGGCCTCTCACAGGAGGATGCCTAGCACTGAATCTGCATCTCAGTGACATTAATTTGCATAACCAACTTCAAATCCATCCCCTCCACCCCCAACTTGGGGTCCTGGGCTTTCCATCCAAACTGGGACCTTTGAGGAAGGGAGGTCAGAGGTTCCTGGGAAAATGTGGGACAAGATTTCCCAATGTCCTGAGATAGGACAGAGGACACTCCTGGGGTTCCAAATTCAGGGACTGAGGGAGTCAGATACAAAACCTCCCCTCCCTATCACACACACACACACACACACACACACACACACACACCACATACAATCCGTTCCCCAGAGACACACCGCCAGGGTTCCAGGCTGAATCCACCCTTGCCGGCACACTGTGACAATGCACAGGCCCAGAGCCACCAGTGTGCTCCAAAGAACAGCCCCGCCCGGACTCCCCTACACTTGATATGTCACATTGGAGTCCGAACACGGACCTGGGTGTCTCTCTGCAGCGCCATTTACATTTCTCTCTCTATCTGTCAACCTGTCTCCCTCCCATCTCTCTGTCTCTGTCTCTCCCTCCCCCACCCCCACCCCGCTGAAGCTGTCAGCTAGTCTCCTGGAAGCTTTGTCTCTCCTCAGTGTCTCCATACGGCTTTCCTTCCTTTGATTTCTCTGCGTCCCCGTCCACTGCCGCCGGCTCCCCAGGCCGCTCTGTTTCACTCTCGTGCTTTCCCACAGTCTTAGCTGCTCTGCGCCTGGCCACCCTGGGACCAGGGCAGGGGCGGCTGGAAACTTGCCGCTTCATTCCAGCCCTTGGGTACCTTGAGGTTACTCCAGCAGAGGCACTGAGGGGCTGGGCAAGGGGAGATTTCCATCCTTTCTCACCCTTCTTATTCGTTTGGGGGTTTTACTCCCTCTTTTTTTGTGGGAGGCCCTCTGGCTCTGAAGTGCACCCCTGGCATCCCTCTCTCCCTCCCTCCCTCCTCTCCCTCCCCCCCACACCCCCAGGCCCATCGCTGTTCTTGCTTCCTTTGGGTGTCCGGAAAAAACCCAAATTCCGTAGAGAACGAAAGAAAGAAGGAGCAGGGTGGGTGCAGCGATCTCTGCAGAGCCCTCCCGGAGCCGGGCAGGTTCCCACAGACCGGTCGGGGCGGGGTGGGGGGTGGAGGGTGGGGGGGTGGGGGGCGGTCGGCCCCGCCCCCGCGTTTCCCACTCTGGGCGCCAGGGGTCGCTCTGCCCACCGGCCGCTTATAGCGGCTCCAGCGGCGCGGCGGCTCACACCACCCGCACTGCCGCTCCGGGAGAGACGGGAGGAAGGTTAGGGACGCGGAGGGGAGCGGCCCGGAGGGGAGGACGCGGGGACGGGCTCCGGCCGGGGCCGGGCCGGGCCTCGAGAGGCCGGGCAGTGCTCGCCGGGAGCCCGCGCGCAACCCCATCCGGAGGTGGGGTCCGTGGGCGACCCCCGCGGCGCGGAGCCCGGGACGTCCGGGGCGCGGAGCAGCGTCCCCACGCGCGCGGGGACGGGCCGTCCGGGCAGGGGGCACCACCGCGGCGCCGCCGTCCGGGGCGCGGACGCCCCGGGCCCGTGAGGACCCCGCCGTCTGGGGAGCCGCCGGCTCCGCGAGGCTGAGCGGGAGCCGCTGCGGGCCGGAGCCCGGGCTCGGACCCGCGGGGGGCTGCCCTCGGCCGCCTGGACGGAAGGTGGGCGTCGGGCCCGCGGGCCGGGGTGCGGGCGCACCGTCGGGGCAGGGGGCCCCCGCCCAGGCCCGGGCCCAGCCGCAGCCATTGCGCCCAAGAGCGAGGAGGACCTGCTGGCCCTGGCCGCGACCCGGCTGAGCCGCCGCAAGCGCGTGGCGGGCGCGGCCGTCGGGGTGGCCATGGTGCTGCTGCTGCTGGTGGCCATCCCGCTGCTGGTGCACAGCTCCCGCGGGCCGGCGCACTACGAGATGCTGGGCCGCTGCCGCATGGTGTGCGACCCGCACGGGCCGCGGGGCCCCGCACCCGACGGCGCGCCCGCCTCCGCGGCCCCCTTTCCGCCGGGCTCCAAGGGGGAGGCGGGCCGGCGCGGGAAGGCGGGTCTGCGGGGGCCGCCGGGGCCGCCGGGCCCTCGAGGGCCTCCCGGTGAGCCGGGCCGGCCGGGCCCCCCGGGCCCGCCGGGGCCTGGCCCCGGAGGAGTGGCCCCGGCGGCCGGCTACGTGCCTCGAATTGCCTTCTACGCGGGCCTGCGGCGACCCCACGAAGGCTACGAGGTGCTGCGCTTCGACGACGTGGTGACCAACGTGGGCAACGCGTACGAAGCGGCCAGCGGCAAGTTCACCTGCCCCATGCCAGGAGTCTACTTCTTCGCTTACCATGTGCTCATGCGAGGCGGCGACGGCACCAGCATGTGGGCCGACCTGATGAAGAACGGCCAGGTGAGCTGCCCTCCCCACCCGCACGCACCGCCCCCAGCAGAACCCCTCTCCCAGCCGCCGAAGCGAATGGGGCACACCCGCTGCCAGGCACGGAGACCCCCTCACATAGCCAAAGAGGAACTGGGGGTTGGAGGGAGGAAACCCTCAGCCCAGGGTCCCATAGAGAATGAAAGGAGTGTCGGAATTAGAACTCCAGACTCCCAAATTCTGTCCCCGGGTCACCTCGCACTCTCTAACTGTAGGCACCGGTTCCTCTGCCAGTTCACTTCTTCTGGCCTTGTCTTGGGAAACGCCCTCTCTGGGGCATCTGTTTTCTAGACTGGCAGTAAATGAGTTACCAGGTTCGAGTCTCCATCTTAGGCAGGAGGCAGCGGCCGGCAGCCTCTCCCATGTGGGGGTCTTCAGCCTGGATTTTTAAAGGAAAAAGTGAGAAAGGAAAAATGCCTGTACTCACTTGCTGGGCATCTCCATAGCTCACTAGTCTGGGCCTTGCCCCCTCTAACGCTGGTGCGTGGGCAGAGGAGGTGGGGAAGATGGGGGCCGAGCGGTGGTCAGCCGTGGCTCGAAGGAACAGATCTGGAAAAGGAGGACAGAGGCGAGGGGCAAAGAGAGAAGTAACCTTGGCCTCTGGAAGGTCCGATCGGTCCCACACTCTCACTGCTGTCCCCTTGATTGCAGGTTCCCTGCCCCCACCCCATCAGGGTCTGAGTCACAATCATTTTGGCTGGGGAAAACAGCCCAGAGGAATCATCTCCAGATCGGGACTGCACTGAGAGAGAGAGGCCCCGGGGCACAGGGGCCGTGTCTGGGCTGCACAGGCCACAGGGCCCAGGTGGGGATGAGCAGTGACCTCCCAGCGCCCTGCACCTGGCCCTGGTGATGACCAGGGACCATCAGGCCTCCCCATCTCCACTGTTCCAAATTCCAGTTCTGCTCTGACTGCTGCACCCTCCAGCTTCAAGACCCCAAGACACTGCACCGGGGTCTCCTCCCAGCAGGGCCTCCCCAGGAGACCCCGAACAGGGGCCTGAGAGTGTGTCTGTTGGGTGTGGGATGAAGGTGTGGGTGTGCTGTACCCTCCACCTAGCGCTCTGGGTGAGCGTGTGGCCCTGGGGAGGTGTGTGTGGCCTGTCACAGACCTTCCGGGGCTGCTTGGAGAGTGTCGCTTTTTGCCGGGGCGGGGCTCAGCCTCCCCACTCTGTATTCTGTGGTGCTGGTGGGGCGCTGCGGCCCTGGGGACGGTAAATAGTGATTAGAATAATGATGAATAATTAATGAGTTAATAACCAGCCCCCGAGGGAGAGAGAGAGGGGGGCTGTAGAGGGGGCTGGCAGCCCTAGGCGGCCAGCGGCAAGGAGGCCAGAGGGGAGGAGGGGCTCCCCATGGGGCAGAAGGCTGCTTCCTGCAGCACACCCTCAGGTCCAGGCACCATGGGACTCAGCAGGGCACGCCAGGAGGGAAATGGGTGCGTCCAAGGCCCCCCCAACAGTCTTAGGACAGCTCACAAGTGCCCTGTCTGAGGGGGAACAGCAGGAGGTGGGGGAGGAAGGTTGACAGCTCAGGTTTAGAATCAAAATCATCCTGGTTGCCTACTTTATTTCTAAAATGCTCAGAGAAAACCCTAGATAGTATTTTTCTGTGTGCCACGCATTGTTTGCTTCCCATGCAGTTGCTCATTTAACCCAGTCTGTGAGGTAGGTGCTGGAGCTCCCCACCGGAGCTGCAGTTTAGTCTCCAGGAGCCCTGGCACTTGTCGCAGCAGCGGGGAGTGAGGGGCAGCATCTGGCGCTTGTCTCTCTTGGCCTGCCTGCTGTCGTGCCAGCTCTGCACCGGGCTTCAGGGGGGTGGCTCTGTCCTTTAGGTCCGGGCCAGCGCCATTGCCCAGGATGCGGACCAGAACTACGACTATGCCAGCAATAGTGTCATCCTGCACCTGGATGTGGGCGATGAGGTCTGCATCAAGCTGGATGGAGGCAAGGTGCACGGCGGCAACACCAACAAGTACAGCACCTTCTCGGGCTTCATCATCTACCCGGACTGAGCTGCTGCCTCCCAGCACCCTCCCAGCCCACCCCTGCTTGCTGTCTCCGTCTGTGGCTTCCCCTCCCATAGCTGCCCTTCCGCTACCCCCAGTGAGGCGCCGAGCTAGGAACTGTGGGTGGGGAGAGCAGGAGGGAGGGCGGGGACCTGCAAGTTGGCTTTGCTGCAGGCAGGGGCGTCCTGTGCACCTCTGAGAGCACTGAGGCAGGGCTCCCTTTTCTGCTGGGGGCCAGCTCCAAAGGCAAAAGGGAAGCGCCGGTATCTGGGGAGGGGGAGGATGAAGCAGGAGCCTGTCTGGGGGAGAGGAGAGGACATGGGGCTCGCTCCCCTGACACAGTTCTCTTAGCATTCCCTCCAAGCTGCAGGCCTTGGCAGCCTTCTTGTGAACTAGAGGAACCAGTGAATCCTTTCCGAGCATTTAACCCTCCTTCTGTACAGTCCCCATCTCAGCCCCATCTGGACTAGGCCCTGGGGGTACAACTGATGTCGCCCCTTCCAATAAAGTGAAGCTGGAGAATGGTGTGCCTCTTCACTGGGTGCAGGGCAAGGGCAAAGGGTGGGCCCCTGCCCCCTTCCTGACCCTTTCTTAGAGGAAGGGGGGTCGAGAAGCGAGAAGCCCTCCATTCTTTTTTTTTTTTTGCTTTTTGGATCACACCTGGCGATGCACAGGGGTTCCTCCTGGCTCTGCACTCAGGAGTCACTCCTGGCGGTGCTCAGGGGACCATATGGGATGCTGGGAATCGAACCCGGGTTGGCCGCGTGCAAGGCAAACGCCCTACCCGCTGTGCTATCTCTCCAGCCTCAGAAGCCCTCCATTCTGACCTGTAAAGGGAGGGCGCCAGCTCGAGTCTTCCACTGCAGGGGAGACCCCCTCCCCCTCCCCCCAAGAGCCACAAGGCTGAGGCGGGCAAAACCAGGATCTGCTGGTTGCGGGGCACACTGAGAGGTCTAAGAGCCGCCTGACGGGGGGAGCTGATGGTTTCTATAAGTGACTCGAATATCCAGACGCATATTCAGTACTCAGGAGAAGTTGCTGAAGTTTTTTGGAGCGTGGGAGCGGGTGCCTCCTCCCGGTGGGAAGGCGCCTGGCGCTGCCCCGAAGCAGGCGTACACTGCCCCCGTGTGGACGACGGGAGAACAACGGTACCGGTGGCCAGGATTCACTTACAGACACTTGAGTAACTTTATTGAAGGATGAAATGGTTGGCTCCCAATCCTGTGGAATGGGCCCACAATAAATAACGGCTAAAAAGGAGGGAGCCAGGCAGGGCGTGGAATAGTGGAAGCAGGTTTCTCATGATGGAGAGTCTTGAAGGGCGGCAGAACCGACAGGAATAAAACTCTGGGGGGAGAGAGAACGCTTGGTCGCAGCCCAGTCCCTGCTGAGCCGGGCTGCCTCCTGCCCCCATCCTGTGAGAGCGCGTCTGTGGGGTGGGCACGTCCGGCTGTGATCGCGGCTCACCAGAGCATCCTGCCATTCCAGTAATGTGGCCACCGGGTTGGTGCAGACGCGGGTCAGGCCCGGGGGAGGGGCCCGGCTGGTGTAGAAGGCACACTCATCGTCCAGGCGGGCCTCGTGGAAGCCGTGGATGGCGCTCAGGCAGGCTTGGAGGCGCTGCCTCAGGGCCAGGGTGTGAGGGGCCAGAAAGCAGGGACCTGCGGGCCAGTATGTCACCGTATACTTTCCTTCCCCACTCCCTACCCCCCAGAGGCAGGGGAGGCGAGGAGAGAAAATGGAGAGAGGGTCTCTGGGCAGGGCGGAGCCCCATTTCCAGCAAGAGACAAGAACGCCTGTTCACAACCCTCCTACCAACTCCTTACCTGCCTGGCCCATGGGAGGCCGCGGAGACCGGAAGGAGCAGCTAGAGGGGCTGGCACCGAGTGTGCTGGTCGTCACCGGGGCCCCCCGATGGCACCCAGGTGGCGGGCTGGCTTCTGGACTTCTGGGATCCAGGGAGCGGGCCTGTGACGCCCCACACTCCACCCCAGAGGGCGGCTCTGCGAGCCACGCCTGCCTCTGGGTGTGCAGGGGTCCCGACTCTGACCTGTCAGGCTGCTCCTGCGCGGAGGCCTCAGGGGGCTCAGGGTCCCTCCTGCTGGACTCCCGGGGACCTGGCTCTGCTGGAGGACAGGGCTGAGCCACCTCAGCCTCTGCTCCAGGGCCAGGCTGTGGCTGCCCGGACTCCTCTGGGGGGCAGGGTTTGGGGGTTTCCGAGTGCTCTAGCAGTGTGGGAAGGTGCAAAGTCCCAGGATGAGGCTCTGGGGTCCCCAGAGTTCTAGAAACATCAGCCAGCAGGGGCTGGAGTTCAGTCATGTCCAGAGAAGCGGAGCCTCCAGCAGAGGGCGCACTCTCGCTCTCCGTCAGCCCCAGGACCTCCTGGCGCAAAAGCTGCTGCAGGATTGTGATGCGCTGCGGGTGGAAGAGAGACCCCCGGGGGCTGTCAAGACACAGGATCAAGTCTGTGCCCACGCTGTCCTGTTCCGAGACTCCCCTCTGCACCCCTCTCCCGGGCCCTGTCACTGCCCCGGGCATCCGCACTGTGACCCCAGAGACCCACCTGCATCTTCAACTCCTGGAAGCTGAGGGTTCTGCTGGGGGAGGGCCCCGAGGGAGTCGCCGCTGCTGGTGGCTTCCCGGTCCCCTCCTGCAGCCGTTTACAAGTCTCCTGGTCAAATAACCGCACTGTGATCTGCTCCTGCGCACGGAGAGGAGACGCATGAGGACCACCGTCCCGAACTAGGGATGGAGTCCCCGATGGAGAGGCCCGAGACTGCAGCCAGGGGGCAGGAGAGAAGCACAGAGCGCTGGAGGGTTAGCCTGTTGGTCCGGCTGGTTTTCCGTTCTCTGGACCCTGGCAGGCTCACGGTCAGGGTGGGAAGGTTCCTCTTGGAACTTACCCAGGGCAGGGTAGGCTCTTCCGGGCAAGGCTGTGGGGAGAGGCCAGTCAGCAGCTGGGCCTGGGATAGAAGCAAGATGTCAGCCTGGCACTGCAGGCGGCACCCTTCCCCTCCTCTCCAGCCGGGTTGAACTTGCTGCCCCCTCCCTCTCCCTGCTCTTACTCACCTGCTGAACTCTGGAGGCCGACGGGAGGGGCGTGTACTGGGTCTTGGGGCGATTGGCAAGACGTCGCAATACTGAATAGGTCTGGGGAGAGATGGGGGCAGCTGAGTGGAGAGAAAACCGAGCGAGATGTAGGGGCCGAGGAGAGAGTTCAAAGAGCTGAGGGTGTGCACTGCATGCGGGGCCTGGGGTAGATCCCGGCATAGTCTCTGGGCATCGGCCAGGAACCAAACATGCAGAAATAGACACACGTGGAAACAAAATAGCAAGCCAGGAGTATCCCACGGGTTTTTGGGTGTGACTCAAAAATCGCAACAAAACTTCCCGACCTGGGCAGGCTGCTCTGTTCCGGCCTGGCCCCTGAGGTCGTGGACACAAACCTGAGCTGAGGGTCCGGGAGAGGGCACGCGCTGAGCCCGTCCGAAGGGTGAGGGTGATGGACGCGCGGTGGCAGGTGCCGCTACTCGGCCCGGGGTGAACATCTGCTGGGGGTCACAGCTATCCTGTAGGAAGGGGGAAGAGCGGGCCCTTGCCTTCCTCTGCCTTGTCTCATGGTGACTCTGAGGCCCTGAGCAGGTCATGAGCTCCCTCGGCCCTCTCCCTCTACCACGTCTCTCCACTCATTCCAAGGAAAAGCTAAGGTCTTATCTGATCTTTTTTTTTTTTTTTTTTTTGCTTTTTGGGTCACACCCGGCGATGCACAGGGGTTACTCCTGGCTCTGCACTCAGGAATTACCCCTGGCGGTGCTCAGGGGACCATATGGGATGCTGGGAATCGAACCCAGGTCGGGGGGCTCGGAACCTCATTTCTGGTCCTCCTTACTTGGCTTCAGCTCCACTAGCGTCTTCTTGCTGATCCTTAAACTTAACACAAGGTGCGGGGCCACCTCAGAGCCTCCGAAGTTTCTTCCCCCACCCATGTCTTGTTGGTTCAGCAACTACTTAAATACCATCTTCTCCGTGAGAGCCCCCGGCCCCGTTTATCTGAAACCCCCAGCCCACTGCGCTTCCTATCCACTGCAGGCCGAGTCCCAGTTCTTTCCCCGCGGCCAGGCACGCTCACCCCTCCCACCCATTTTTACCTCCCCGTCAATGTCTTATTAGTTATTTATTTATTGCAGAGAATTAATCACCATCTGACACACGTTCACCCATGGATTGGTGTTTTTTACCTCTGCCTTCTAGAATGTGAACCTGGTTACCATCTATCTATCCAGAACGTAGGGCAGTGCTCAGTGCACAACAGTTGAATCGATAAATACTTGTGGAGTGAAAGATGAGCTTTGGCTGGCAAGTGTTCATCTGTGGTGATGGTGACACAAATGTGAGGGCTATGACTGAGGGCTCTGACCTCTCAGTCCCAGGCTCCAGGCCGCTGGGAAGGGCCAGTCCCACTCTGGACAGTTGTTTTTTGTTTTGTTTTTTCCTTTTGGGGTCACGCCCGGCAGTGCACAGGGGTTACTCCTGGTTCTGTACTCAGGAATTACTCCTGGTGGTGCTCGGGGGACCATATGGGATGCTGGGAATCAAACCCGGGTCGGCCCCATGCAAAGGCAAACGCCCTACCCACTGTGCTATCGCTCCAGCCACTCTGGACAGGAGTTGAGCCCTAATTAACGTCTCTCTGAACTGCCTGGCTCTCCCCATGCACGTCCCCTCCCCCCACCCTTCCCAGGAAGGTCCCATCTCACCCTAGTGTGGGTTCTCTCTTGGGTTTCTCTTAACGGTACCCGTTGGGCCAGACTGAGGGGCGCCCCTCCTCCTTCACCTGAATGAGTGACAACTTCATGTTCTCTTCCAGGCAGAGATGAAGCTAGGAAGAGACAGGAAGTTTGCTCAAGTACCCGAGACACCCTCCAAAGTCTGTTATGGAGTACTACCCCCCCTGAAGAGGGTATGCCAGTCTGACAGAGCCATCCTGCCCCGGAGGGTCAGCACTGTATCAGGAGTCCCATCTTAATCTGAGCACTCTGAGTGATGGCTCTTAGCTGAGGATGAAGAGGGGGTGGGAGACCACTCTGGCAGGAAGAGGGCAGGAACAGGGACCGCCTCCTTCAATCTAAGTGCAACTGGTTATCAAGATCTCTCCCCCTCCTCCTAAACTTTCTCCACTGCAGGCCCAGTTCCCGTTCTTCCCCCCCGACCATGCACTCACCAGGCTGGACTGGGGTGTCTGGGAGCAACCCTGAGGCTTGGCTTGCTGCAGTCCTGATGGTGATAAGAACGCAACCAGCAGTCACTGAGTACTCAGCGTAAACTGGGTGCTTATGCGGAGTGCTTTCTAAACCTCTGCTCACTAAATCCTCACACAGCCCTTAATGTCAGTGCAAACATCATATTCATTTGACAGAGAGTGAAGAGTACGAGGAGTCAAACCCAAACTGAATTTCTCATTTCAGTCAATGCTTTAGCCACTATAGAAAAAAGACAGCCCCATCCACCCCCCACCCTGCGGTCCCCTGAGGAAACTGCTGTCATTCGGAGAGCAGGCACCGAAGGCCTGAAGCCAATTTCAAAGGCACATCCTGACCAGTCAGAGGTTCCCCTGTCCTCCCACACTGGGGCAAAGTCCCAAAGGTCCTTGCTGGCCCCAGCTCTGCAAGCCCTGTCTGACACCGGCTTGGTCTTTGCTGCATGTCCCCCTGCTCACCGGCTGCCGCCACCTGTCTCTCTTCTCAGCTCCTGGAAACTGGGGTGGGTGGCGGGGCGCAAGGGAGCATCTGAAGATGGAATCTGGCCCATAAGCGAGAAAAACGAGTCACAGGTGGGCCTCTAACTTTATTTTTTATTTTTGCTTTTTTTTGGGGGTTACACCCGGCGATGCACAGGGGTTACTCCTGGTTCTCACTCAGGAATTACTCCTGGCGGTGCTCGGGGGACCATATGGGATACTGGACTCGAACCCAGGTCGGCCGCGTGCAAGGCAAACGCCCTACCCGCTGTGCTATTGCTCCAGCCCCATGGGCCTCTAACTTTTAGGCTCCAACCACATCTATCTCTGCAGAACCCTCTAGCAAGAGGCTGTTTCTCTGGCAGGGCCCAGTTTGTCTCTGGAAAAGAACCCCCAGAAGCAGTGAGAACTGTCCCTGAGAGGTACTCACCAGCTCCTCTAATCTCTGAGGGCACGAGGTCTGGCTTCGGGGTCCCGGTCCTTCCAGTCTTGAGAAGCAGGAAGCCCTGGTTGGGTCCAGTCGCTGGGCAGGGGTTCTGGGGGCCAAATATGCAGAGGACCGGACACCCTGGGACCCCCAAAAGAGGCTTTAAGCAGAGGCTCAGAATTTCCTCCTGGTCCCCGCCAGCCTGAGTCGCATTACCTGGCCCCTTCGGTCGGTGCCTCCTGGCTTGACTCGGATCAGGACTCTCTGAGCCAGACTAGTGTGGCGCCCTAAGTGACAGCTCTTCACGCCCTCACCTGACAGAATGGTGGCCAGGGCTGCAGGGTCAGCCACAAAATCAACGGCTCCAGAAGCTTCTGCAAGAGAAGAAGAGATGGCCCCAAACCAACCAACCAACAAACCCCCCAACAGCAAATAAAAATAAAAACAAACCAGGGGCTGGAGCAATAGCACAGCGGGTAGGGTTTTTGCCTTGCACGTGGCCAACCCGGGTTCGATTCCCAGCATCCCATAGGGTCCCCTGAGCACCGCCAGGAGTGATTCCTGAGTGTAAAGCCAGGAGGAACACCTGAGCATCGCCGGGTGTGACCCAAATCAAATAAAATAAAAACCAATTCATCAATAGTGCATAGACTTTACATAAGACAACATGCTAGGCACTGGAGCCATAGAAGACCGAAATAAAGCTCTCAGGAAACTACTGCTAGGGCCAGCGATGTGGCTCAGTACTAAACCACACGCGCTACACGTATGAGACGCTGGGTCTGATCTCTGGAATTGCCTTTAAAAGAAGTGACTGAACAAACAGTAGAGCTGGTAAGGTGCGTGCCTTGCACAGGGGTGACCGGGTTCTATCCCCAGCACTGCCAGGAGTGATCCCTGACCACAGAGCCAGACGTAAGTCCTGAGCACCATCAAGTGTGGCTTCCACCTGCCCCCAAGAAAATAAAGAAACAGTCATCACCACGCTACAGAGAGGCAAAAGACTGAAGCAAATTATGGACAAGTCATCAAAGAAGTACTGCAAAGTACTCCCAGAGTAACTGAATGACTGAGGAAGCTGAAAACAGCTTGATAACAAGAGTTGATGCTTGGCTGAAGAAAAGAGCAGATTTTTTTTTTTTTTTTTGCTTTTTGGGTCACACCCGATGATGCACAGGGCTCCTGGCTCATGCACTTAGGAATTACTCCTGGCGGTGCTCGGGGGACCATATGGGATGTTGGAAATCGAACCTAGGTCGGCTGTGTGCAAGGCAAACGCCCTACCCGCTGTGCTATTGCTCCAGCCCCAAGAGCAGATTTTAAAAGGCTTTTATTTTAATTTTTAAAATTTTTTGGTCTTTTAGGGTCATACCCAGCGTTGCTCAAGGTCACTTCTGGCTCTGCACTCAGGAATTACTCCCGGCAGTTCTCAGGGGACCACATGGGATGCCAGGAATCAAACCTAGGCTGGCTGCATGCAAGGCAAACCCCCTATTCACTGTACTATTGCTCCGGCAAAAGAGCAGGTTTTTAAATGCAAAGAGCTTTCCAGAAGCAAGGACAGAGAGAGGACAGTGAGTAGGGTGTATGCCTTGCACATGGTCACTGTCCTCCCATTGTTCATCGATTTGCTGGAGCGGGCCCAGTAACGTCTCCATTTTGAGACTGGTTGTTACTGTGTTAGGCATATTGAATACATCACGGGGAGCTTGCCAGGCTTTGCCACGGGGGCGAGATACTCTTGGTAGTTTGCCGGGCTCCCTGAGAGAGAGGTGGAGGAATCAAACCTGGGTCGGCCGCCTGCAAGGCAAACGCCCTACCTGCTGTGCTCTCGCTCCTGCACATGGTCAATCTAGGTTAATTCTCAGAACCCCCGGATGGTTCCCAGAGCCCTGCCAGGAGTGATCCCTCAGCAGAGGCAGGACTTAGTCCTAAGCACAGACAGGTGTAGCCTGGGGACGGGGGGACGGGAAAGGAAAGAGGTTTTCAGGAGCTGCAAACAGGCCTCTTAAAGACAACAGGAGTGTAACGCCCCCAACCCTATGCTGACCAAGCCAGTCTCCTACCAAATCAAGATTGTTCTCAGACCCAGAGCGATAGCACAGCAGTTGGAGCACTCGCCTTGCACGTGGCCCACTCAGGTTCGATCTCTGGCATCCCACTCGGCCCCCTGAGCACTGCCAGGAATGATTCCTGAGCACAAAGCCAGGGGGGTAGCAATCCCTGAACACTGCCAGGTGTGGCCAACCCTACCCTAAAGAAAAGGACTCTTCTCAGTGGTCCGACAGGAGGTACCTGTCTGCAGACGGGGCCGAGGGCCCACATTTTGTCCCCCAGGGCTGGGCTTGAGCTCTTCCAAGGGGTTCCGGAACTGAGGGCTTCCCACCAATCTCTCTGACTTCTTTGCCTCATGTAAGGCCTTAGGCCTGGGGTCAGCTGAGTCATGGAGCGGACGCTGAGTACTGAGCTTCCGCACCAATCTCTGGGGGAGAGAGGACAAAAGGCGGGGGGCTCAGATTTGGGGTCCAACTAGGTGTTGTCTCCTCCTCCCCTCCATCGTCACCCGCCAGGTCACTCTTACCTTGGGATCTTGGTTCTCCTGGTCCAAGGCGCCGGGTTTGTCTGTGGGGGGCGGCGGGCGCCTCCGAGAACTGACGGGGATCTTGCTAGGGGTGGGAGAGACACCTCGGCGGACGAGGTCCCTCTTGGGTGGGAGGGTGGTCATGGCCACTACAACTGAGCAGGCAGGATGAGCTAAGCGAGGGCCAGCCGGTTCGGGGACATCCCTCCTGCCACTGCGACCCCCACCTCCGCCCACAGGACCTCGGCCACTGCAGGGCCACCTCCAGGCAGCCTGAGCCGGCCGACAGTTTCGCCTGAGTTTCCACCCCCCTCCCCCGCTCCCCCCATCAGCCAGGTGTCCCCACGTCCACGTCCTTTGTTCCCTTCAGGATTCCCATGCCCACCTTCCCCTGGAACCCTTGAGCATGGGCCCGATCCCCTCCGCCTCGCCCGCACACCCCACCCGGCGTCTGCAGCAGCCTCCGGCCCAGTTCGTAAAATACGCCGAGCTCCTGATTGGCTCGCGGACACCTGACCGCGCCGTCCAATCCGGAGATGCCCGGGGCGGGGCCAGGGGGAAGGACTGGTTTTTCGAACCTCCTTCCGGCCAGGACAAAACTGACCCGGCACCACGAGCCAATCCGAGAGCGGAGCGCGGGGCGGGAGGCGGGGAAAAGCGGGGAGAGGCGGGGCGGCCGCTCGGGGGCGGGGCACAGCGGGGCCCGGAACCCGGCCGGCCCGAAGCCGAAGTCTCGCGAGGCCTTGGGCGGAGGCCGGCCCGCGCGGGGCATTGTGGGAAGGCGTGGGACCCTGCCTGCGCCCGGGGGTGGGGCTGGCCCTGCCCCCGCCCGAGAGCGCTCGGGGCGTGGCGGCCGGCTTTGGGGGCGCCGGTCCGGGCTGCGGTCCCGCCTTCTGCCGGGTGTCGCTGGGACGAGGAACCGACGTCAGTCGAGCGGGGCGGGGGGCGATGGCAGAAGCTGATTGTACCGAGACAACGAACGTTTCCAAAGGTTTTTGCGGGGGCCGGAGAGAGTTCACGCTCCCATCCCGTTCCCCGAGCACCGCCGGGAGCGAGCCCTGTACACAGAGCCAGGAATAACGCCCTGTGCACCGCCGGTGTGACCCCCAAAACCAAGACCAAAACCAAAAGCAAAGAAAGGCTTTGGCGGGGCTGGAGAGAGCACAACGGGGAGGGCATTTGCCTTGCACGCGGCCGACCCGGGTTCGATTCCCAGCATCCCTTAGGGTCCCCCGAGCACCGCCAGGAGTAACTCCTGAGTGTGCAGAGCCAGGAGTGACCCCTGAGCATCGCCGGGTGTGACTCCCCCCCACCCCCCCCAAAAAAAGAATGGCTTTGGCATTCCAGTCGCAGGACCTGGAGATGAGATACTTTGTTTCACAGAGAAGAAACGAGGCTCCGTAGTGCAGTGGATCTCCTGAAAGACCGTAGGCAAGGAGGACCGGGAGAAGAGCCACTGAGGGACCCACAGCACTCAGAATGGAAGGGATAACTAACCTCTGACGGAAAAGGAGAGCTGTGAGTTGCATCATCACGAAGAAGACAATATGCACATCTGGGACCGGAGAGATAGAACAGCTGGTAGAGCATTTGCCTTGCACGCGGCCAACCCCGGTTCAGCCCCCAGCATCCTAAATGGTCCCCAGAGCCCGTGATCCTTAAGCACAGAGCCCCAGCACAGTCAGGTGTGCCCACCAAACCCATAAATTAATAAAACAAAACTAATTATATTTTAAAAATTTATTGGGGGTGAGGATTTGGGGCCCCACTACTTAGGGGGTCACTTCTGCAGTGTTCAGGAGACCATGAGGAACCAAGGATTGAATCCGAAAATCTATTCCTTAAATCAGACTAGAAAGTAAAAATTATTCTAGCCGTGGGCTGCCAGTGATATTGTTTTACTGGTATATGATTTTTATTTTCCTCCACATCTCCATCATAGCTCTTGGGTGGTCAGGTGCACTGTCATTGATCAATAATGCTTTAGAAGCTATCTCTCCGTGAACAGCAACGGGTATTCTGTTACTATGCTACAAGCAGGCTGTCCATTAATTCATTTAGAGAGCACAGACAGTTGTCTTAGCCTAATTATCAAGGGTCTGAGGAATGTGAACTGTATTATATACTAACAGGAGGCTCGGTCTGTCCTTTAAAACTTTGACAAAAATTCTCAACTTGACCTCTTTAACTCTGAAATATCTACCTTACCTCTCTAACCGTGAAATTTCTAGATGGCATCTTCTGATATAAAGAAAGCTGTTCGTCTACATTGAAAACCTGTTTATCTGTTTATTATGAAAATTAGCCAGGTCTCTGGAGAACTTATTGCAGCTTTTACATCAGCATATGCTGCTTCCCCTTGCATTTTGAAGACTATGGAGATGACCTTTCCTTCTTTCGAAATACAAAAAATAACAACGAGTGCCTTTCTTTGTGGGGGGAGGGGCTGGGGAAAGGAATTTGGGCCACATCCAGCTGTGTTGGGGCTACTCTCCATTGTGTTTGAGGGCTATTCCCAGGGATCAAATTGGGTTATACTGCATGCAAATCGTGCACTCCTGTACGATCTCTAGTCCATTACGTTTTCTTTTCATTTTGTTTTATTTTTTAATTGTTTTTAACTTTTTTAGATCGAATCATTGTGAAATAGACCCTTACAAAGATGTTCATGATTGGATTTCAGTCATACAGTTTTCCAATACCTATTCCTCCATCAGTGTGAATTTCTAGCACCAGTGTCCTCAAGGTTTCCTCCCGTCACCTCCCTCTCCCGACCCCTACCTGTCTCTGGCAGGCGCTTTTCTTCTTACTCTCTCTTTCTCTCTCTCCCCTCCCCCCCCCTTTCTGGGCATTGTGGTTTGCAATACTGATACTGAAAGGTTATCAAGAATATCCCTTTACCTACTTTTAACACTCAGTTCTTGTCCAGCGTGATCCTTCCCAGCTATTGTTGTCATAGTGGTCTCTTCTCTATCTTACCTACCCTCAGCCCCCCCCCCCCCCCCCGCACTTGTGGTTTGATCCAACCATTGACCAGTCATTCTAACCTATGTTTTCCCTGACCATGGATGTTAGTCTTCTACTATATATCTATATTTATATACCACAAATGAATGCACTCAATGAATGAGTTCTTTTTAAAAATATTCCCATGGGGCCAGAGAGATAGTATAACAGCTAAGATGCTTATCTTGCACGTCGCTGACCCAGGTTCAATCCCCGGCATCCCATATGGTCCTCTGAGCACTATCATGAGTGCTTTCTTAGTACAGAGCCAGGAGAAACCCCTGAGCATCATTGGATGTGGCCCACGAACAACAACAAAAAAGCAACAGCAACAAAATATTACCTTCTTTGGCCAGAGAAATAGTACAGGTTGGGGTGCATGCCTTGAATTAGGCCAACCCCTGTTTGGTTTTTTTTTTTGGTTTTTGTTTTTTTGCTTTTTGGGTCACACCCGGCAATGCTCAGGGGTTACTCCTGGCTCATGCACTCAGGAATCACTCCTGGTGGTGCTCGGGGTACCATATGGGATGCTGGGAATCGAACCCGGGTGCAAGGCAAACGCCCTACCTGCTGTGCTATTGCTCCAGCCCCCCAACCCCTGTTTGATCTGTGGCATCACTGGGTGCAGCCCTGGAAGCCTCTGTTCCTGGCACTACAGAGCTCAAGCAAATGGCTTTCTTGTCCCTCGCATTGAACTGCAGCCTGAGAGGCAGAGAGTTGCCAGAAGGAGCTCTATGGTCCCTGCCCCCTATAAAATTAAATTTAAAGTTCTCTTCCTCTCCTCCTTTCCCTTTCACCTTTTGTTGTTGCAATGACACCTGGATGTGGTGGCCACCTGATGTCATCAGGTTTCAGAGTTTGTTCATTCAAATTTGCACTCCTTCGGTTGCCAGGCCTGTTGAAGGCACACAGCTATGGTTGTGGTACTTGCTGTAGTGGCTCTGGTACCACCTGGGGCTGCATCCTGCCTGTGGCGCTCAGGCCCACACCTGACTGTGGTCTACCCAGCCGTGCTCAGGGGTCTGCACTCAGGAATTACTCCTGATGGTGTTCAGGGCTGGAGCGATAGCATAGCGGATAGGGCATTTGCCTTGCACGTGACGGACCCGAGTTCGATTCCTCTGTCCCTCTCCGAGAGCCTGGCAAGCTACCAAGAGTATCCCGCCCGCACAGCAAAGCCTGGCAAGCTACCCGTGACATATTAGATATGCCAAAAACAGTAACAACAAGTCTCACAATGGAGACCTTACTGGCGCCCACTCGAGCAAATCAATGAACAATGGGAGGAGAGTGCTACAGTGCTACAGGTGTTCAGGGGACCATATGGGGTGCTGAGGATTGGACCTGGAGCTGCTGGATACAAAGCAAACAAATGCCCTACCTGTTACCACTCCAGCCCCTGATTTCCTGAAAGAACGTTTCCTTTGCATTCATGGCTAACTGGCTCAAGAAGTCTCACTTTCAGTATGTCTTGGCCTTAGCCATGCTTTCATCATTAAACTTAATATTTCAGTTTATTTTGGTTTGATTTGATTTTGGTTTGGTTTTGAGGGCACAGCCAGCTGTGCTCAGAGATTACTCCTGGTGGCGCACAGGGGACCATATGTACCTAGGTAGGCCATGTGCAGGACAAGTGCCTTAACCCTGTACTATCTCTCTGACCTGTTTACTCCCTTCCTTTAGGTAGGGATGCCCACACTCAGAAGTACTCAGGAATTACTCCTGGTTCTGCACTCAGGGATCACTCCTGGTGGGGCTCAGGAGACTACATGGGATGCTGGGGATCTAACCCAGGTTGGCTGCATGCAAGGCAAATGCACTACCCACTGTATTATTGCTCTGACCCCTCCTGTTTACACTCCTTTTTAATTTTTTTCTTTTTAGGTCACACTCGGTAATGCTCAGAGATTATTCCTGGCTCTGCAGTCAGAAATTACTCTTGGAGGTGCTCGGGGGACCATATAGGATGCCCGGCATCAAACTCAGATCAGCCATGTCCAAGGCAAATACCCTACCTGCTGAACTATTGCTCTGGCCCCACTTTAAAAGTTCTTATCACATCTCGGGGCTGGAGCAATAGCACAGCAGGTAGGGCGTTTGCCTTGCATGCTGCAAACCTGAGTTTGACTCCCAGCATT